GACAGTTCTGTTGTCTTTTTTGGCAGTTTAGATACTTTCAATACCCTTCCCCAGCACTATAATTCAAACGCATCTATTATTCTTGAGTCTTCATTACCCAACGTCCAAATTTCACATGCACATAAACAACTGAAAATTACATGACTTGGTTAGGGTGTGACTTAGTCCTCAAAGTAATCACCTTGCTGTTCAAAGCCATAAAGAGGTCTTGTGCGCAGATTTACCCAAAGTAACGCGTCCTTTATCTCTTGACTGCTGTTTCCATGAGCATTGATTGTGGATCGAAGCAAGATGAAGATCCTCGGCAACTTTATTCCTTTCTCAGTTTAGCATGACGTTACCTATTGGTCCAATTGTAAGGATTTTGGTCTTCTTTACATTGAACTGTAATCCATACTGAAGGCCGGAATCCTTGATTTTCATCAGCAAGTGTTTCAGGTCCTCTTTATTTTCCACAAGCAAAGTTGTTTCATCTGCATATTGCATGTTGTTAATAAGCCATCCTTGCGTCTTGATGCCACATTCTTTTTCATGTAACTTTGTATAAGCCAGATTCTCTTAATTATTTCTTCAGCATACAGATTGGATAAATAGAGAGGATACAACCCTGGTGCAATAGTCCTCTTGCTTTTCACTCTCCCTGCAATCTTTATGATTTTGAATCATGCAGTATTCCTTTGTTCTGTTTACAAAACTGCCTCTTGATCCATGTAGAAATTCCCCATGAATGCAATGAAGTGTTCTGGAGTTCCCATTCTTCTCAAAGATATCCAGAATTTATTATGATTCATACAGTCTAAGTCCTTCACATAATAAATAAAACACAAATAAACACCTCTCTGGTATTCAATGCTTTGAGCCAAGATCCATTGACATCAGCAATGATGCCACTTTTTCCACCTCTTCTGAACTTGGCCTGAACCTCTTGCAGTTCCTGGCGAATTTACTGTTGCAACCATTGTTAGATAATCTTCAGCAACATTTTACTTGCAAGTGATATTGATACATATTGAGAACTCTGTTGGGTCACCTTTCTTTGTGATGGGTACACATTTGGATTTCTTCCAGTCAGTTGGCCAAGCATCCATCTTCCAAATGTCCTGGACTAGAAGAATGTGTGTTTCCAATGGCTCATTGGCTTGTTGAAACATTTCAATTTGGTAATCCCATCAATTCCTAGAGCCATGGCTCTACTTCTTTAGTTTTAGCTACAGGAGACACTGTGGTTTTTCACTGGGCTACTAACTGCCAGGATAGCAGTTCAATACCACTAACTGCTCTGTCGGTGGTGCAGAGTGGAGAGGGGGAGAGAATTGGGGTTTTCTTCACTCCTAAAGCGTTACCACCTTGGAAGCCCACAGGGACAGTTCTACCCTGTCCGCTGGGGTCAGTATGAGTTGACATTGACTGGATGGCCATGAGTTTGGTTTGCTTTGTTTTGGACTAATAGTTCAGGTGGGATATAGCAAAGCTGTATTTTGGCTCTTGTGCATAATAAGCTCTTTTGTTTCTTCTTTGCTCTTACCCATTTGGCTTTTTGAGGACAGGTTGCTCTGTGGAAGTTTTCTGGAAGCCATCTCTCTGTAAAGTTGGTACTCATACTTTCCTGTTCCGTGGTGACAAGGGTATGGATTATTCATAACAAATCTGCTTGTCACTTTGCTTTCAGAAGAGAAGCATAGGCTCAACAGTTTAAAGTCCTGCCTGTCTTTCACATGGCTAAGATCACATGGCACTGGAGAGAAGACTGTGGGTTATCTTTTAATTATTGTGCAAAACATATTTTGTTGGTATTCTATCCTAGCACTTTATATAATATTGACTGGATCCTTGCATAATGCCAGATGATGTGATTTGAGGCTTAGTAAACAAATAAGCAATGCAACCTTGAACAGACATGTAGTGAAAGGAAATAGAGAGCTGCACTTTTGACTGAAAGAAGACATTATTCTTAGATTGACAGTTCTGCTTTTCTTTCACCTTGAAGAGCACTTAAAGTCAGCTTCCTAAATGAGATCTGCACAGCACCTACTTGTAGTGAAAGCATGAACAGTGAGAGACTAAACAAGACCATGAGATTCAGCATCTGTGGCTGCTTCCTCTTCACAGGTCACTGAGGGCCTGAATCACACAGAGCAGGCTCAGGCTTCAATGTGTACTTATTTGAATGCTGAGTTGAAATTTGGATCATAAAACATTGATTAAAGGTTCTAAATTATAAGTAAAAGCCTTTTATTAGAGTATTATCTTTTTTCTGTAGGTCAACAAAGAAGTGTTAATGAATCCAATTTAAATGTGTGAACAATACTTACACCTTTTTTCTAGGTCAGGCTTAGAAGATAGTAATGAAATAGAGTTTCAGAAGCTGTAAAAGCAGTAAGGTTGAAATAGATGTTATTTTTAAAAAGGATTTTAAAGGTTTATTTAATAATCCTGAACTGAAAACAAGTATATTACCAAATGATTCCTCTTTGCTTTTATGTTTATATGTTAGTTTGTTAGTGAAACTCTATTTGTTTGCAGTCAGAGAGATGAGCTGTAGGAATGATAAATCATTTATGATTTATTTGAATAAGTTGATAGGGAAGATTCAAATTGTAAAGAATTTTATTTTATTGAATCCACAATCAATACCTACAAAGCATCAGTTAAACATCAAATGATATATTGAGCAAAATGTTATGCAAAAACATTCTTTAGCCTGTTAAAGAGCAAAGGTATCACTTGGAGCACTAGAGTGTGCCCGCCTCAAATCACGGGGTTTCAGTCTGCCCATATGCTCGCAAAAGTGGACAATGAATAAGGGACACCGGAGAAAAAAATGATGCGTTTCAATTACGGTGTTGGTGAAGAATATTGAATGTATCATGCACTAGTTAGGCTGTGTTCTCTAGAGAAGTTAAACCATTGACATTTATATACGTATATAAAGAGAAAAGCTGACGTCACGAAAAATGGCTCACCCAGTTATAGAAGCAGTGAAATCTAGTTTGGTTCAAGTCCCAGTAACAGATAATAAGCTACAGGCTTTTCCTGACTCACTTGGCTGCCAGATCTGGTAAATTGGGAAGCCAGGAAGCTGCAAGATCAACTAGGAAGCAGGAGGATGAAACAGGACGATGAAGCAGGGAGCCCATAGTTGGTGGATAGAGACAAGAGTGGCAGATGGATGCTATGTCAGGCCACTGATAGCTCCTTGGATCAGCAGGCAATATGGCAGACTGTTGTCCCTAGTCCAAAGGACAAGAGGTCAATGCAACAGATGTAAGATCCATTCCAGTGAGAAGAGAAAGAGTTATACGTAGTGTTTATTTATAGATGTAAAGTAGGCTACACCTTCAGGGAGCCATCATCTTCATGACCAAGGAAGGGGGTGGCCTAGAGTTGTTTACATTATGTTAGGTCACATTATGGGGGAGGCCTTACTGCCCAATTACTGAGGATCCTGGCCCTGCCAAGATGACACAAAACCCAATTATCACAATGAACTTCCAGAAGAATGAACAGCTCTGTCTTGAAAGATGTTCAGCCTTAGAAGTTCCTTAGTAGTAAAGGCAGTAAGATGTTTTATCTCATGTGCTTTGGTCATGTTAGACCAGTCCTTGGAAAAAAATAAAACATCATGCTTGGTAAAGCAGAGGATCAATGACAAAGAGGACTACCTTCAATAGAATGAACTGACATACTGACTCCCACATTAGGCTCGACCATTCAGAAGATTTGAGGAGGGCAGAATAGTTCATGTTTTGTTCTGCTGTATTGAAGGGGCACGATGAGTCCAAACCAACTGAAGGCGACTAACACCAAAAGCATCACATATCCATTAATATGAAGTACTATGTTTTTGTTCCTGTTAGTTGCTGTCTAGCTGATTTGTACTCTTGGGGACCCCAAGTATTACAAATTAAAACTTCTCTATAGAGTTTTCTTGGCTGTATTCATAACAGAAGCAAATCAACAGGTCTTTTTGTGTGTGCAACTACTGGGTAGATAGGAATATACAACCTTCAGATTAACTGTTGAGCAAGAACCATTTGTATCATCTAGGGGCCTTTATATGTGTATACAAACACCCAAACCTACTCTCGCCACGTCCATGGCAACGCAACGTGATCCTAAAGAACAGAGTTGAATTACCTCATGGGATTTCTGAAGCTCTACAGCGTTACCAACGTTGACTGCCTCATCCTTGTGTTGTTGAGTGCCCAGTGAGTTTGAACTGGTGACTTCTCAATTAGCCGCCAGGTGCTCTAGCAACTGTGCAACTGGATCTCCTCATCTGTACATACCCATTACCATCAGGTCAATTCTGACTCAGTGTGAACCTCCATCAGGTTTCCAAAACTATAAATCTTTATGGCCTTATTTTTCTACCATAGGGTGGCTGGTAGATTTGAACAGTTGATATTGTGGTTAGCAGTCCAGTGCCTATCCCACAGTGCCACCAGAGCTCCTGGATATGTATTTCCCTAAGCCACTGCTATTAAGTTGATCCTGACCATGTATAAATCAAACATGCCTATTTCAGTTTTGTAAATAATATTTTAGATCCTAAAAATATGCCATATCTATGCATCTAGTGACACCAGTTGACAGAAGGATAGTACTTGCTAAGATGTGCTTCTAATATGATTAAACAGACTGATATGATTTTTTGTAAAAACAGTTAACTCCTTTCTATTGCTTTGGCTGTTTATTACTGGAAGTGGTTGCTGATTTAGATTTCCTCACAGAGTACAATAAAGATGAGAGACCTCAACAATATCCTCTCAAGATTTAAATTTTAGAACACAAATTTTAAAAGATTTAAATTTTAGAAAATAAATGTGAAAAGAAAATTTTTTTTTTGGTTAGGTTGATGCTGTCCTGGGAGGAATTGTAAGTTATTTATTATCCTTCTTGGAGTTGATTATATTGATTGGTTGCACTGAATTAGCAATACCAAATGGAAGCATGTTCATTAATTACATAAGCAATTTTTACATTTTCTTCTCTTTCAGTTGATTTATCTTTAGTGAATAAGGATGAAAATGCTATCTATTTCATGGGAAATTCTCTTGGCCTTCAACCTAAAATGGTTAAAACATATCTGGAAGAAGAATTAGATAAGTGGGCCAAAATGTAAGTATTACATTAGGAGCTATCATTCAGCGTTTCATACAAGAATTTAAAAAATCATGTTAGAATTGATTGTCCAATATGTATAAAATTATATAATTGAATAAAAATATTTTATATTATGGAAAACTCCTAGGAGTTATATAGTTCAATAATCTCATTTTATTCACTAATAAGCTGAGAATCTAAAATATAATGTAAGGTTACATGGCAAGTAGTGGTAGAGCGAAGATTAAATTTACAAACTATTAAAAATACAAGTTTCTATCGCATAATGATACATCTAAACTATATGTAATCATTTTATTTTTATTGATGTACAAAGGAGTTGATGTTTAAGATTGATTTTAGTTTTTCCATAATTAGTTCTTGGCTAGATAGTATCATCGCCATCTGTCTATCAGTTTATTGTACTATGGTAGCTTGCATGTTGCTATGATATTGGAAGCTACATCACCAGCACTTTAAACACAGCAAAGTCACCCATGGGTGACAGGTTTCAGTAGAGCTTCTAGACTGAGGAAGAAATGTGATCTACTTCTGAAATTAGTCAATGAAAACAAATATTATCCAATATACGGCTAGAAGATGCACCCCCCCCCCCCACACACACACAGGTTCGAAGGCATTCACAACAGTTCTTACCATGATTGACTTACACAAACCAATGATAGTTAAACCAGAGCAGGACCAAGTATCATTTTTATTCTGTTGTACATAGGATGGCTATGAGTTGGAGCTGAATGGACAGCACATAACAGTAAATATATTAACACTATATGAAACAAAAGTGGCTGAAGGGAGTGTATGTCTGTTTTTCTATCTGCACTGCACCTGAGACAGGTTGTACTCCACACATCTAGGCAGCCATTACACTGCTAGGAATGAGAAACATACACCCATCGTACCAGCCATTTTATGTTCATCATCGACCATCAAGCTAGACACCCAAGACACTAACACAGTTTTGACAAAGTAAACGCCATTATTTTTTTTTTTTGTAGAAAGCAACCATTGAACATCAGTGACACTACCAAAGAGGAACCATGTGCTCATCACCAGATTACCTATGCTCCCTCTTAGTTCCCTGGATAAGCATCCCATGGTTCAGGCCAGATGCTGGATTTACATCACCACTCCACTCGGCTACCACCATGATGCTTGTGTGTGGAGGTGGGGGAAGGGATAGAGGTGGGTGGGTAGGACTGCATAACTCAGGCTTTTGCTCTGCTACCGAGCCTTGCTGAAACTTAAAGACATCTGTACAAAATCTTCTTGACCTTTTGCCATGGTGCTCCTTCTAAGTCTTTGCTGCTGGCTTCTGCCATTTTCTTGGGCTTGGGGGGCTCTTTTGCTACCATGCTAGCTGGTCTTGCATAGGGGCACACTGGCGCCTCTCTTGGTCTTCATAAACAAATATTGCAACTCTATTAGCTTACAAGGCAAGTCCTACTCTTAGCTCTAACCATCTTTAGTATCTGAATTTTCTTCTGGGTTTATGACCTCAGTGCAGTGAGTCTAGGTCCTTGGTCCAAAGGCCTAGCTAGGTCACAGTCACATAATTTACGTAGTCCTGTATGAGTTTTAGGCGCCCTGGGGGCTTAGTAGTTTCCAGGTGGACTGCTAACTGCAAAGCTAGTAGTTCAATACCATCAGTCGATCTGTAAGAGAAAGGCAGGGCTTTTTACTCCTGTGAAGAATTACAGTCTCAGAAACTCACAAGGCAGGTCTATCTGGCCTTATAGGTTCACTGTGAGGTGGTATGAACTAGATTGCATTGCATTTGGATTAAATAAAATTTTTTGTATGAGTTTTATGCAAATTATTTGGATAATCCCAACCAATAATCTTGTGGTAGTTACAAAACTATGTCTAAAAGGTTATATTAAAACAATTCTGTAACATGGGAAAACAGATTGAATGAACTAGGAGTACATCTGTTTCTAAACAGAACAGAATTTTTAAATAGTTTATTGGCATATAATGCAAAACTCGTACAATATAATTATTCAATTATATGAAGAAGAATTGTATAACCATCACCACAATCAATCTCAAAACATCTTCCTCTTGTATTAATTGTTGTAGCTACCTGTTTTACCCCAATATCCCTCATCAGATCCCTAGGTAATCACCAATCCAGTCACTGTCACTATTGATTTCCCTATCTTGGATTTCATAGATATAAAAATCACACACAGATACATACCGTGAACCCTCGTTTATCGCGGTTAATCAGTTCTAGACCCTACCGTGATAAATGAAATTCCGCGAAGTAGGATTCCTTATTTGTAAATCAAATATTTTTGTAGTTAGAGCATAGAGGACATGAAAAAACACCCTCTGGTCACCATTACACTCATATTACCCAATTTATTAAACGAAAAAGGGAAACTACAGTAAAACATTTTGGACGTTACAATTATCATTTATTATTTATTATATTATTTATGGCATCTAGTTTACAGTATTACATATTTCACATACAATATTATTATACATAGTTCTTACAAATACTGTAATCAATAGCCTATGAAATGACTTAAGGGATGTACTCTACAGGTGGGTCGCCGTCTTTTTCCTCTGAAGGAGCAGGTGTAGGCAGTGGGTGCTGTTACGCAAAAACCGCGATAGAGTGAAGCCGTGGAGGTCGAAGCGCGAAGTGGCGAGGGTTCACTGTACACAACCAACCATGACAAAACAAAAGAGAAGACCCTCAATCAAAAATAAAGTAAAAAAACATTAAAAACTAAACAACTTCAAAATGGGTCAAAAGGGAGATCAAATGATAAGTTGTTACAATTTGACCTAACTACATTATGTCAACCCATGATGAACTTTACATTGCTCTCTGTCTGACAGCAAGGCTATTCGTGTCTCTGGTCAGCGGGGATTCACAAGAGGCTTAATCCATGTGCGAACGCTGGAAATGAACTTGGTCTTCCACTGTCCGTAGATTTCAGCAAACTGAGTGTTCATAATTGAAGCTCTGCTGCCTTTCTTTCCTTTGGATTTGGATTTTATTATTTCTAATCCTTGACTCATAGGCTGAATGGAGGAGAATTTGAGAACGATCTCCACTTGTTCTTAGCTACCTTTCCCCTGTCTCCTCTGTACTTCTATAAAACCCTTTGTTGTTGTTTTTTTTTAACATTTTATTTTGAATTCGGTGAAGCAGATCATAGCTTGTATGTTCAGTAATTCACACACATCCTGGTCCAACTCATCCCTTGCAATCCCCTCAACGGACCGTTGCCCATCCTCCCTTCCTACGCTTCCTGTTTCCGTTCTATATTCGTTCTTGTCTCGCTGAACGTTGCCCCCGAATAAATGCTGCCCTTTGGATCTTAAATGAAAAACCCTGCATTCCTTAAGTCCAACTTTGTCAGACAGAGAGCAATGTAAAGTCCATTATGGGTTTACACACTGAAGAACAGTCCCTCAAAGTCCAGTGAACTAATGGTCACTTGTCTGGAACAGGCAGCTTAGAAGTATCTGCTTTCATTAGTTTTAAATTCCAAGAGTATTATAAACATCTTTAGGAACACAACCTAAAATAATATTTTTTATATCCCTCCCCAATAATTCTTGATCATCAAAACCAGATTTTTAAAGTTTCCTTAAAACATTTCCTAATTATTTAAAACAATTTTCATTGTACTTTTAATGACGAACTATAGAGTAAAACAAGCTCCAGTTTAACAATCTCTACACATATTGTACAGCGATATTGGTTACATTCCTCACATGGTGTCAACATTCTTATTTCCATTCTAGTTATTCTGTTTCCCGAAATCTAGTCTCACTGACACTGCGAGCTTCTATTCCATTGCCATGTGTTAGTCATTATTGACCACCTGGTCTCATGTGTGTGGCTTTTTAAAGGTGTGCAACACCCAAGGGGGATCATTTTGATTTGTTTTATGAGCTTATTTAAGGGGATACTTTTAATTCAAGGTAACAGAGCAACTCAGGGATACAGTTTGAGGGATTTTTCCAGTCTCAATAGGTCCAGGAACTCTGGATACATTCTTGATAATTTTCTGATTATTTTAATCTGATAATTAGTATGAAAGACAAACCAAAGCTGAAGGTCAAAGAAAAGTTTCAGAAAGATAAAACCAAGCCAGCTAAGAATTATAGAGGCTAGATATTTGACTCTCCTAACGACTAATGATGTTTTCTCAAACTTAAAATTTTTAATTTATGTGCTTATTGGTCCTTCATATTGGACCAGTCTCACTTGCACTGCCTAGACTGATTATGACCAGCATCCTATTAGATAACACTGCAAAGTTTTTTAATTTTGGCAGTTAAGCTAAATTTACAAATTAGTAGAACGATATTTATTTAGCCTGCTGTGACTTCCCCTGCATAACTGTTGTGCACATATTACACAGTAAATGGCACTGCATTTAGAAGCAGTTTGCATTGATTGTTGTTGTTAAAGTGCCATTCAGTTGGCTCTGACCATTGACCCCTGTGCACAATAGAAGAAAACACTGTACGGCCCTGTGCCATCTTCACTCTCATTCCTATGCCTGAACCTGTTGATGCAGCCCCTGTGTCAATCCATCTCATTGAGGGCCTTCCTCTTTTTTGACACTTTCCCAAACATGATGTCATTCTCCTAGGACTGACCTCTTCTGACAATTTGTCCAAAGAATCTAAGACAAAGTCTTGCCATCCTTGCCTCTAAGGAGCACTTCTTCCAATACAGATATGTTTGTCCTTTTAGCAGTCCCTGGTATTTTCAATATTCTTCTCTGGCACCACAATTCAAATGCATCTATTCTATAACTTTCCTTTTTCAATGTCCAACTTTCACATGCATATGATGCAATGGAGAAGACCATGGCTTGGGTCAGGCTCACCTTAGTCCTCAAAGTAACATCCTTGCTTTTCAGTACTCTAAAGAGGTCTTGTGCAGTAGATTTACCTAATGCAATACATCTTTTGATCTCTTGTCTGCTGCTTCCATGAGTTTTGATTGTGGATCCAAG